TGAGGGAAACAAAAAAGAGAAAGGAAAACAAAAAGAGAGCTCGACCATAACCGGATTGTTCATTAGAGGAGCAGTGGTATTTAAGGAGTAAGATGTAACTCAGGGGTAAAACGGTAATTTGACCCAACTTGAGTTACGAGCACTCGTGAAGGATTGACTTGTCATTTATGGTCGTATATCCATGGACACGAAAACATTATGCAGTGAGAAGAGTGCAACTGCGGGTCTTTAGTGGAGTGACCTGTAGTTAACGAATGTTGATTAACTCGGTCAATGAGTTTGACAAATTAATCTCATATCGTTGGAGTTTCTGATCTGTAGGTCCATTAGGTCCCCTTGCTAGCTCATAACGGGTAAAACGAGGATCAAGTTTTTGGAAGAATTTGAACTGTTCAGATTGCTCAAGAGAATATATGTATATTGATGCATTATAATATATAGTTAATTCTAAATTTAAACTATATATTATGAGAGATATTATTAGAGATTCAAATAAAATTAATATGAATAAGATTCATATTAAAACTATAGGTTAAAAATTAATGCACAAGATGTACATTACGACTATAGGTTATACGAGAGAAATGCTATAGAATATGATTCTATTTTTGTAATAAATAATTAAGTATTAATTATTTATTTGATTTATATATATATAAATATATATATTAATTAATTGTTAATTAGATTAATAATTAATAATTATTTATTAATTAATATGATTAGTTAATTAATTAATATATATATATATATTAATTATTATTATTAATTAATAATATTAATATATATAAAATTAATATTTAACTCCCCACGTCATGTTGTTGGTTTTTCTGCAGAAGAGTTCTATAGAAAAAGATACACAGAACAAGAAAAAAAGAGGCCCTAGCAATCTTTCTCTCTCAATTAGATTTTGTCAATTCTCCCTCTCATTCCAAACAAAAAGCTCCAACAAGCGTGTTCTCGAGACCCAAGAGGATAGCACGAAAGATTTGGTGGTGGTGTTCAGGTGGAAATTAACTTGAAGAAGAGTTCTTCAAAGGTAAACATATTTTCATCTGTGTTTTCATTTTTGCATACCTTTGATTTTGTTTCTCAAAATTGATGAACAAAGATCCGCTTCCGCTCCGAGATTCACATCCCATCAACAAGGTGATGCCCTTCGGGCCAAAAAACGTTGGAGCGACCTACCAATGCATGGTTAACAAGATGTTCACCGAGTAGATATGATGCAACATGGAGGTCTACGTAGACGATATGCTTGTCAAAAGTAAACAAGCGAACTGCCACATCACCGACCTGACAGAAACATTTGAAGTCCTTCGATGGCACCAGATGAAGCTCAACCAAAGCAAGTGCGTTTTCAGAGTCTTCTCGGGAAAGTCATCGGATTCAGGGTCAACCAACATGGAATCAAAGCCAACGTTGAGAAGATACAAGATGTGTTAGATATGCAACCCCCTAGAACCTGAAACGGCTCCAATGCTTGAACTGGCGAATCGCAGCACTTAATTGTTTCGTGTCGCGATCTATCGATAAGTGCTTATTGTTCTTCAAGGTCTTTCAAAAGAAGGAACAGTTAGAATGGACACCTGAATGTTAACTCGCTTTTGATGATCTCAAGAGCTATCTAAGCTCGGTGCCCTTACTTTCAAAGCCATTACCAGGTGATAAGCTCGTCCTGTACCTGGCACTGTCAGCAAGCGCCTTGAGCTCTGCCTTAATAAAACAGTACAATGGTCGTCAAAGCCCTAAATAACTCATGTGTATCCTTGACACAAATAGGTATTTATTCAAAGGCTTTCTCTTATTGTAACTCATCTTCATGGATTATAGATTCTGAAACTTCTGATCATATGACAAGTGATCTTCTAATCTCTTTGAATCATACACTCCTTCATATTCCAATGAAAAATATAGAATTGCATATGGTAGTTTTTCTTTTGTTGCAGGAAAAGGAATCATCAAATTGACTGAGACTATTTTGTTACAGTCTGTCCTCGATGTTTTAAAATTAGCCTGAATCTTTTATCTGTCAACCAACTTTCTAAAGATTCTAACTGTCGTATTTTTTTCTTTGAATCCCATTGTATTTTTCAAAATCAGAACTCAGAGAGGATAATTTGTCGTGGTAGCTGGATGCTTTATGGTCTCTACTACTCTGATGAAGGTACTTTTAGTAATAAAATAATGCAGGGTCTTAGTAGTATTGGTTCTCTTTCTGTAAGTAAAAAAATTATGTTTTGGCATCGTAGGCTAGGACATCGCAATATTTCTATTTAAAATACTTGTTTCCAAAGTTATTTAAGGGAATTGATTGTTCATCTTTTAATTGTGAAAGTTGTGTTTTAGCAAAAAATCATCGCTCCACATATTTTCCAAAACCTTATAAAGCTTCCGAAACCATTTTACTTAATTCACAGTGATGTTTGGAGTCCTTATAAAATTAGTACTCATAGTGGAAAAAATTGTTTATTACTTTAATTGACGACCATACTCGCATGTCTTGGGTTTATTTAATGCAAAAAAAATCTAAGGTGAATGACATTTTCAAACACTTTTATGAGATGATTGAAACTCAATTTCAAACAAAAATTTGTATTTTACATTCTGATAATGGATCTGCGTATTTTAATGAATTTTTGGGTAACTTTTTGAAAGGAAAAGGTATGGTTCATCAATCTACTTGTCGGGATTCTCCTCAACAGAATGAGATTGCACATTTACTTAAACTAGCACGTGCTATAATGTTTTCTATGAATGTTTCCAAAATATTTATGGAGGGAAACGATTCTCACAGTGACCTACCTAATAAATAGAATGCATCTAAGGTTTTAAATTTCAAAACTCTCATTGAGTGCTTTAAAAATATTTTTCCAATATCCCGCATATATTCTTGATCTACCTCTCAAAGTCTTTGGGTGTACCACTTACATTCACATACCTCATCATTTCAGGCCAAAACCTGATCTTTGCGCTATTAAATGTATTTTCTTAGGCTATGCTTCAAGTTAAAAGGGTTATAAATGTTTTGATCCTCAGCAAAAAAAACTTTTTGTGAGTATGAATGTGTCTTTTTTAGAAAATCAACCATATCTTACCCAAAATTCTCTTCAGGAGGAGAAAATGAATTTGGAAGATAATTTTTAGGATATTTCAGTTCCTCTTCCTAGTCCTATCTGTTCGGATTTTATTAGTCCTTCGATGCCAAGTGTATAAAATTTCCAATAGGGGGGAAGAAATACTACAAAATGATTCTACTAATCTTGTTCCTAAGTTAAAGTTTTATACTAGAAGGAACTTCAATTAAAGGAACCAAGATCAAATAGTTGCTCCTTCACAAAGCTAACCTGAGACTCCAAGAAATGAAACTAAACTGCCCGGTAATGCCTCTTCTAACCCCACTTCTTCAATTATTCAAAATATTTCTCCTATTGTCCCTGATGGTTCTCATAGCCCTCAGAAAAGGTGTGCAAAGCTGTACCAAATATCCCATTTCGAACTACATTTCATATCAAAATTTGTCAAATAGTCATAAAGCATTCACATCTAGGATAAATGATTTGTTTGTTTCAAGAAATATACATGAAGCTTTAGAATATCCAAATTGGAAACTAGCTATTATGGATGAGATGAATGCTCCAAAGCAGAATAATATGTGGGAGATAGTAGAGTTGTCAAAAGATAAGAAACTAGTGGGATGTAAATGGGTATTTACTGTAAAATGTAATGTTGATGGTAGTATTAAGAGATACAAGGCTAGACTAGTAGCTAAAGGCTTCACTCAAACCTATGGACTCCATTATCAAGAAACATGTGCCCCTGTTGCAAAAATTAACTCTATTAGAGTTCTTTTGTCTCTTGCAGTTAATTTAGATTGGTCTCTCCATGATATAAAAAATGTTTTTCTTAATGGCAATCTTGAGGAAAAGGTTTTTATGAACTTACCACCTGGTTTTGAAAATGAACTTGGATGTAGTAAATTTTGCAAATTAAATAAATCACTCTATGGTCTCAAATAGTCTCCTAGAGCTTGGTTCAAACGGTTTGAAAAATCGTATCTAGCTATGGATTTCTTCAGAGTCAAGCTAACCATAAAATATTTTATAAACACTCTGAGAATGATAAAATCTCAATTTTGATTTTTTATGTAGATGATATTATTATACACTGGTGATGATGAAGCAGGTCTAGCAGATCTTAAGAGTAATCTTTCAAGTGAGTTTCAAATCAAGGATTTAGGAACGTTAAAATATTCCTTAGGATGAAATTTGTAAGATCGAACAAAGGTATCTTTGTTAATCAAAGAAAATATGTTCTTGACTTACTTGGAGAAACAAGATTACTTGGTTGTAGGATTGCAAAAACTCCTATTGAACCGAACTTGAAATTACAAGCAGCAAACTCAGAAGAAGTGAAAGATATGGTAAGTATATCGCAGTTGTCTCATACGCGACCAAATATCGCATTTGTTGTAAGCATGGTACTTATTCGTGCACCTAGGTTGATTCTCATTTTGAAGTTGCATACAGAATCTTGAGATATTTGAAGGAGGTATTCTATTTAAAAAAAAAAAAAAAAACATATAGATTCAGACGATACCTATACGAATTTATTGGGACAATAAGCCTGTCATATCTATAACTCATAACTCTGTTCTACGGACAGAACCAAACATATTGAGGTTCATAAACATTTTATTAAAGAGAAGATTGATGCAAGTGCAATATGTATTCTTTACTTTTTTACAGCAGAGCAAATTGCTAATGTACTAATTAAGGGACTCCCAAAGAAACAATTTGACAAACTAATCGACAAACTGGATACATCTTTAAACCAACTCAAGGGAGGTGTTGGATATTTCGATATTTGTGTGTAAATATTAGTTGTCGATATTTAGCATGTATGAGATTTATTTATTTCCTTACATTGTAGTGCGTCTTTCTCCTATATAAGAAGACCTAAGTTAAATATATAAAATAGAGAAGTTCTCCCAAATTTACAAAAATCAATACCAAAAACCAGAGAAAACCTTTCTTTAGAGAACTATTTCAATAAATAGATGTGAAATCCGTACAAAAATATCAGATATTTCTATCACTTTTTCTAGTGACAAGAAGTCATGCAATAGAATCGAAAAGAAGTGATGAATCAGCCCCTATTCATCCAAGATGAGAAGAGATTGCCTCTGGGTGGGGCTTACGCTTCCCCCACGACTAATTCTCAGAGCTGTTAATGCTTTCTGTATTTCCATTGTCATTGCACTGTCTACACTCCCAGATGATAGTTTCTTGTGTGATTTTTGCAGATGAAGCTTCAATGAGCTACTACTCAGACCTGCATTTTTCCCACAAATTGGGCAAACTTTCATCGTTGGTTTCCGTGATTGCCACTCCATCGAAACTTTTCCATGTATTCGTCGATCTAATTCTAGTAATATTTTAGCAAACCCATCATTAGGCTGAGCTCGACGGTGAACTCGTTTCAGAGCACTCCATGCCTTTAACAGTGTATAATTCCTGCACCATGGAACAATATGCCTTTAGATGCAGCCCAGTCATAAACAACGTTTGACCGGTTTAATGATGGAAATTGTTGTTTTAACTTACTTTCTGAGCATCAGGTAAGCAAGAACTAATGTGGCACTTCTGCTTCTCCCTTCAAAGCAATGAACCAGAACCTTTCCACTCTTACTTTCAATGTCATCAATAAAATCACAAGCTTCTTCAAAGATACTGCTGATGTTTGAGTCTTCATTATCACTTATCTATTTGAGTCGGCGACATAGCCTTGTCAGAAAAATGTTCTCTCAAGAATGAAAAAGAAACTTACATTCGATCTTTAAAGTTCAAAGTATATTGACAGAGCCACTTTATTACAACCATCAAACATACATGCAATTACAACAATTTCTATTCTTATCCATTTATAATTTTATATTATGTGCTTTATAAAAACCGAATGGTAATTAATAACATGGACTACAACAAGACAAAGGCAAGCCAAAAGGTAGGGGCACACCAAACAAGTAGACAGACTACTAATATATCTCCCAAGAATGACAAATAAAGAGAAGTAATGGCTCGAGACAGAAGAACCAGGACATCGATTTTTCTTTTTGTTTCCCTCCGCTGCTGTAAAACTAGCTAGAAACATTCTCCACCAGAAAAAGAAATACAGAGGAAGTGATGAAGGCACAGATAATACTCAACAGGCTAGATAGATTCCCACGAAACTCACAATACATGCAGTATTGTTTTTATAAGATGTGAGTGAAGAAAATCACCCTAAAGGGACATGCCGAACAAGTAGATAGGCAGCTAATATATTCTCCCTATTAAAATGACAAATTGAGAGGAACTTTTAGAATGTAATGGCGATAATATAAAGAACTGAAAATATTCATTTTTCTATTTCTCTTTTTACCCTTACCTAATTTAGACCAACCAGAACAGAAACATTCTCCAACTGGAAAAGAAAGGGAGGAGAAAAAGAGAACAGAGATGGGAATAGATATGGCAGGAAACAGGCACTTACGGAAAAATTTTTGTATTCAAATAAATCAGGAAACTGAGAATCTGACTGTCCAATTTCATTTGAGCAAAGACATAAGATATGAGTGACTCCTAGATGCTGAAGAGTGTAAACAGATCTTGCAGCCAAGGCACCCCCTATAAACAAGGCAGCTGTAACTGAAGAAGGCCTTTCTGTATTTGCAGCCTCAGATATTAGTGCAATCCTTTCAAGAATGTGCTCAAGTCTCACCTGGAATATATATTAAGTAGGGGATGAAGATATTTAGCTCTATGGATATTAGGTACCAGAGCAAAATTGAAACTGGATATTTTACCTTCAATTCATAAGCATCGACAACTCCATGACTATCGCTGCCCTCAAAAAACCCAGTATTAAATTTGTTCTCTTGGCAGAGTTTAACCGCTTCATTCTTTAGCACTTCATTCCACATATCCAATTCTTTGTTTGATTCAGCATCAACCTGGGCAGAAAACGGAAGAGATCAGATTCATGTAGGTGATGATCATTGAGTGCCCACATAATCAACAGAGTCCTCTAGTAATTTAGTGACCTATTTGTGTCATGATAACTAAATGCATACATTCAAGAAGAAAACAGTCAACCTCTGAAATGAACCTGACATGACTTTTAAATTCCACAGGAGTCACAAGGTGGAGTAAAAGAGCTAGAGAAACTCGAAACCGTACATGCGAGATATGAGTACCATTCACTAGTCCAAAACATTAAAAAAAAATTATCAAAAAAAAAAGAAGTTCCAGTAGAACGGTTTCATATATCTTACATGAGAGCAAACATCTGACGAAGTTTGCTTTTCTATGCTGATGATAGATACATGGCATGTCAAAGTTCTTCCAATAATAGATAGAGAGAGAACGTTCAATTTCCTTGTAAACTTACCTTGGCAAATTTATGGAAGTCTCGAAGCTTTGCAGTCAAACGAAGGCTACGAATGGGCTCTGCACTTCCCCTGTATAACTTTCCTTGTGAGCTATCTCGTGACAAGGGAGAAGTTGAGTCTGAGCTTTCTTTATTTCCTAATGACGATGATCTTGGAGCTGAATCTGTAAAATCCACACTACTGTCATTAGAGGCTCGTTCCTTACCACGTGGAGATAGACAATGACAAGTGGCAGAAACTTGCGAATGGGACTCAGGAACCCCTGAATCTTCTTTATCAGATTCCCCCAAGGGAAATTTATTTATGATATTCATGAATGCTCGTAGTGAGTTGTCCAACTTTTGGTGAAGTGTAAGCAAAAATATGTGAAATCCTTGCAGATCCCTAAGAGCAGCACGGAACCCGTAACGAAATTCATGGACAATGGAAGTCATATCCGTGAACTGTATACCAGTGGTTGAGTTGGCATCGGCTAATGAAGGGAACCCTAATTTCCCTCCTGTAATGTCATGTAATAAATTAGAGGAGAACTCAGAACTGTTAAGTAGCAACTCAACTAACTTGGGGTAAATTGACTGGTCATTAGCACGTTTTCCAGCTGGGGGTCGACGAGGTACACCGGAGTCAATAGCCACAATGCTAAAATCACAAGTCATCATATCGTCCGATATTTGACTTTTTACACTTAGGTTACTAGATTTTGGGGATTCAATAATGTCACAAAGTTCAGAGGCCTCTAATAGCAGACTTGAATTAGAACTCAGTCTACTGTCCACTGAAGTTGCCCTTCTTTCCTTCTGAAGCATAGTAACAACCTTTGGTCTATATCGCTTAATAGCAGAATCAAAGGCTTCCTCAAATGCATTCATACTTGCACATGTTACTCTATCGGCAAAGAGCAAATTTGCAGAATTTCCACGCCAACGAAGAAGACGGCAAGGTAGCCTATCTTCATTTCTGATGACAAGGTCCAATAACAAGATCCTTCCAATAGCAGCTGCTAATTTCTCGGCTACTTCCCGTGATTCAAATGCACTTGAACTTTCTAATAAAGAAGACCCGTGGACATAGCTGCAAGAAATAGGAGCACCCTCTTTGTGAAAAAGAAATATATAATTTCTCATTGAAAAGCAACTTCAATGCTACATATCACTAAACATCATGCTTCCTCCACAAAATTCTATACATGTAAAATGCAAAGCATAATTTTAGTGGTTTCTAAATTTTTTTTTTTTGGATAGGAGTGGTTGCTTGATATTTACACCAAAAAAAAGTTGACAGTACAAATATTAGACCCTACATAGGAGTTGTCCTTTTTTTACTAGAATATTTCAGAGTCATCCTAAATATTGGATCCTTGTATATTTGCACCAGAGTCTATTTTCTCCCTTCGGGTTCAAGAGAAAAGAAATCCAAATGGAATTAATTATAATGGGAGAATAATTACAGAAAGTATTAGACAAGGAACACCAAGAAGCATATTAGACGTGGAGCTCAGCTAAACCAAAGACCTTCTAACCTTTTCAATGTAAATTTGAATATTCCTTTATAACCATAAAGCCAACGAAAGTGCTCTGACTGCATTTAACCATAGGCTTGGCTTTTCCTTTCAAATTGAGACCACCTAGCGTGCATCATATTGTCTTTGGCCGAGTTATCCCAAACCAAGAGATATTAAAGCTGCGGAAGAGACAAAACCAAAAGTTAATACTATAGGGACACCAAAACAGCAAGTGCCATTTGGTTTCTTCTGCCTCTATATGGTGTGAGGACTAAGCTTTTGCATTTCTTCTGTACTCTTTCTACTGTATTTAGAACTTCATTGCACACTATGCAGCAAAACAATTTGATATTTTTATGCCCTCTACTATTATAAATTAATACTGCAATGTTTTTGGTCAGCCTAGACTTTATATTGACCGAGAGAAAAGAGACCACCGAAAAGAAATAGAGACAGCTCCCATATCCCTTCTATCATTCCCTTGTTGGACAATTTATTCAGATGTTAACTCCCTCATTTCCTCATCCTTCAGATATTATCATCCTTGAACCCTCTCCAAGATCGAGTTCCTTCATCCCATACTTTTTTAACAAAAATATCTTGTGGTTCTACAAAATTAGGGAATTCTCCTCAGTGGTTGATTATATATTTGTTCTTCCAAACAAAGTTTTATCCCTATTTCCAACCTTAAATAAGAACATTCCTCAAAAACAGGCCTTGTTGAGGAAATGTTACAGACTGCAACCATAGCCCCATTTTCTTAGTATTGTAAACCACAGTAAAGTTTATTTTCCATAGATGCAGTTAATACTTTTATGCCACAAATCATTAGGTTCCTTGAACCTTCAAACCTATTTTTGCCTATAGAGCTGGATTTCAATTTCCCAAGTTAGAAAGACCTTAGCCTCCCCATTGAACATAAATGGCTTAGTATACCTACTTACTCTAGTCTCCCACCCTAAAGAAACTCCCTCATCTTTCTTTCTAATTTTACAACGGCTTTCCTTGGCATTTGAAAAATTGACAAGAAGAAAGTAGGAAAAATTCTAAAATTTGGCCAGAAGAAGTTAGGTGAGCTTTCAAAACAGCCAAGGATAAAGTCAAATGCCCTCCTTTATAAAAGTACATATTTTTATATCTCCTTCTGGTGGCATCTACAAATTGTAGGTAGGAAAGAACTTTTGTCATCCCAACTCTAAGGCCTCCAAGAGACCACTTTGGACACCGTGACCAAGTAATTTACTACATACATGTCCAAAGACAATAAGAAAGGGAGAAACAAGTCTCCTGCTTCAAGTTTCTAGGATTTCATGTATTATTCTAATTTCATTATGCGCATCACATAAAGGGAGAGCTGTATGAGATGAAAATCTCATGTACGGTTCTGGAATGGAGATTCTTGGAATGTAATAATGAATGACCGTAATGGATGCCAGCTCAATCCGAAGGAAATTATGCGGTAGCTCTACATAATTATTATGAAGCTATGCAACTAGAAATCGATCTCTATGATCAAAGTTATATACTCTATGATATGACATAGGTCTTATCCACACAAGGAACGGCACCAAGATTCTACCTCCAGATTTTCCATTATATATACACACACATGCATACATATATAGAAAACCTCGTGTCTGAAATATAACTTTTGATCTAGTTCAACCATCTGATATCAAATCCCTTTAGCTTAAAAATCCACCTCTACTTTTAAAGTTTATGCCTTTCCTTTATAGCATGATTTGCAATGAAAATTGAACCAATGATCTTTATTCACCGAATAGAAGCCATTTGGTCAAAAGAGACCATCAGAGTGAGGTGAGGACTTTCTTCAATCTACATTTTAAAAAACCTTGGAGATTTTATATATACCCCGTTAACCAAGCTGACTAACCAACATAGTTTGACTCTCCTGCTCTCTTTTCTTTAATAAGAAAAACTAAGTTGAATTAATTATAAAGGGAATACTTCCATATAGGAAAGGAAAAAGTAAACAACAAGGACGATGAAACTTCGTATATCAGACATTTCATATCACTCCCTAATATTCATCACACTTTTACACAACTAGTTAGGTTCTAATCACACCCAACAAATTTTGAGGGCTAAAGAAGTTTGTACTTGAGATCATTTATCTTCACAGGGAAGTAATGAATAAAAGGTGGAACCCATATCCACCTTGTCTTCACAGGGAAGTAATCTTGTTTTGAGGGCTAAAGAAGTTCATATATCAGACATTTCATATCACTCCCTAATGTCCTAGTACTTAGAAAAGTAACTTGTGAGCCTCCACGATTTTTTAAAAACAAGATTAGCTTCGTAAGATATCCAAATAAGAGGAACCCATATCCGCAGGCATGTTAAATTAGGCCAGCTAACCAAAATCACCACTATTCATAATGGAATGATGAGACATATAGTGAATTCACTTGTCACGAAATTCCCAACAACTAAAATACTAAATCTTAAAATGGTAAATGTACAGACAGACACGGACAATATCCATGAAAAGATCAGTTAAAAATTGTACCTCATTAGAAAAAGGCATCTGCTTAATTCGAGTGCTTCCAATAGTTCAGAACATGTCATTTCACCAACCTCGTCACCCTCTAAACAGGCAACATCTCGTGCCTTCTCTGCAGCTTCTTTTATTTGGAGCCATTCCATGCTAGAATTATGAATAACTCTAGCCTGCAGTTCCCAAGAAGGATAGACGATTTGATAAAGAATATATGACAGAAAAATATAGAACAGAATAGTATGGCCAAATATAGAAAATCACAAACAGAGGAACCTGTGGAGTTTGAACTCCAAGCCACTTGGCAAATTCGTAGCCCAGACGTTCAGATTGTGTAGCCATTCTTGAAGATGATATCTTTATAACAGCAGCTGCTTCCTTTGGAAAGTTATCGTCATAACCAAGCTGACTGAAGAGCGCAAAGAAAACGACTCCACCAGAATTTACAGTGACCTATATGCAGATAATTTGTTAGGCAGGATGATCATTTTTTCATAAGAAACAAATATTTCACGAATGAAATAAGCAAAAGCTTCTATCAGATTTTGAGGCATGAAATATATCAGGGACAGACAGACATACGGATCATGTCATTACACACCTCAAGGGGTTTATTCATCTCGTCTTCTGAATGTTCAGTGCTGCTACTGTGTTCAGTGCGGTGAAGAGACAGGAGCCTATCCCACGAAAAAGAGCTCGATTCAATGTCCATCATTGAAGCTTTAGCGAGCCTATCCCACAAATTGGTTTCAGTTGATTGCTCAGTAGCAGGAAGACTTCTGGACTCAGTGACAAGTTCTTCTACACTGAAGGGTAGGCAACGAGGATTTGTATGAATATGAGAGGACACAGAGGAGTAAATGAAGGAAGGGAAATGCAATTTCCTAGAAGAACATGAATAAGAAAGAAGGGGGCAAACCCATAAGGCATGTTGAAGGGTGGATGAGGGCGGTTGTGGAAGGCAGAAGGGCGATGTTTGCCGTTACGTTTACGGACGAGTTCTAGCCATTTCGAAAAGCTATAAGCGGGGCCTGCTGCGATGTCTCCGAACATGTGCAGAACCTGCATTGTGAGACAATGGGTGATGGAAGAGAGTGATTGGTATTCCATGCGAATATTGTGAAAGAAATCAAGAGTACCCTGGAAGTAACGGCGAGGGGGAGAGGGGCGGCCTCAGGCTCGTCGGATCCGAGATCGAACTCCAACTCCTTAGAATCCTGCTATGGTGATCCATGCGATTAAAGAGATCTTGGGAAAGAAATTGAAACAAAAGTGAGATGTGATGAGAAAGGAAGAAAAAGGGGACCTGCGCCTGCGCCTGCAGCTGCAGCTGATGGTGAGTGGGGCAATCATCCATAACTTTATTGACGAGGGAGGAGTTGAAAGAATGGAAAAATGGAACTGCACCGGATGCCGAAAATGAAACTGCTCCCTCCGGCTACGCCCTTGTATTCTGTTTTCTGTAAGATACTATGGAAGGGGAAAGCAATTCGGCGGTTATGGAGGCCCATGTGATTGCACTACGCACTCTTCCGTCTGTGTTGGTGTACCGGTACCTGGCCCTGTACGCCATCCTTTACACAAAATGCTGACCAACACCAACTTCATGACACCCAACATGCTTGCACATCCATAATCAAGCTAATTTGTATCATACATACATAAAAGAAGAAAGAGAATCATATATCCAAAATAAAAAAATAAAAAAATTTAGTACAACATGCAGGGGTGGGGGTTCGAACTCATGACCTTTGAGCTATGCTCGGTTTGGCACCCAAAATAAAAATATAGTAACATATCAAGTTCATAGTCCATAGATTCATTTTAGCTGTGGCAACTTCAAAATATATATCTTAAGAAAAAATTCTTTCTTTGTTTGCTAGACCAAAGTGAATCGGTGGGGAGGGGTGGCCAATAGTCTGATCCTCTACTCTCCTTCTCCTCTCTGTGAAGGGTGTGTGTTTTCTCTCAAGTCTTCCAATTGAGTTTTTTCAAAGGGCATTCCTCTCTGTTTTGTTCCGATTCTACCATGGTTTTTTTCAAGAAGTAAGTTTCATGGTTCTAGATATTATGGGACCTCCCTTGTTGTTTTGGAGGAGATTTTTAAGGAGGATCCTTCTTCCTCGTTGATTTCTATGGTGGCGGATGGTGGATGTGTTTCGGCAATCTCCCCTTCGGATTCTGGTAGTGCTGATGTGGCTGATAAAATCAAAAGAAACAATGTTACGTATAGTCTGTGGCTTCGTTATCAGAATGTTTCGAAGAGTTTTCATACACCAAGCTGGAGAGGGCACCTGCCTACGATCTCTTGGGATGACTCTTCATCTTCTTTGAATCCTTGTTCAGAAGACTTCCATGGTCCAGGGGCAAGTATGATGGAGCAGAAGGTGGAGAAGGTGGGCGACGACTGGGGTGTAGCAGAGATCGGCTCGAACACAATTTTGGAATCTGCAAAAACTGTCAGTCTTAATTATATTGAGATTTGTGACCAGCTTGATTTCGAGAATTTGTCTAATGTAGCCTTTATGGTTTTTCCTTACGTCTGCATAGTGGAGAATAAGGCAATTGCGAAGTTCTTTCCTTTCCAATCATGGATAGTGGTGCCATAAAAGACAATATTTCTCCATTAATTGAGCAGTCTCCTCCAATAGCATTGAATATGAGTTGAGGATGTTGTGATTTTGGAGAAGGCGTTTTCATGGGCTAAAATTTCTTTCTATTCCTCGTTCTGTAAACAGGCAAGCTGTTTTATTGGCCAAGTGTGTCATTTCTGATCGTTTATCTATCCTTTGGGATCACTATTTTCCTTCGTGGATTTTGAATGTGGTGCGCTCTGATGTAATCCTTAGTGGTCTTATTTCTTATTAATACAGTATTTCTTTGATCTTGAAAAAAAAAGTTCATAGTACATATAAACACGTACACACCCCCAAACTACTTACAACACACCTAACACTGTTAGCACTTGATCCAAGCTGTCTCCTATGTAACAATAACAAATTCAAAATGTTAGTCTTAGTCCCTTGAAGGGATGTTATTCCCGGAGCGGAAACGGATTTTCGTTGCTGAATTTCGGGATACAAAATCGAATTACAAAGTAGGAAAATACAGAGGAAACTTTACATTTGAAGAACGTTTTTTCAACGAGTTTCCCTCGAACACCACCACTGTGTCTTCCTCGCTATCCTCTTGGGTCTCGGGATCGTGCTGGTGGGAGCAATCCTTTGGAATGAGAGGGAGAGATAGAGCTTCTTGAGAGAGATCTAGGGTTTTTTTTTCACACACTATTCTGTTCTGTTTTCTTCAACCATTGAAGAAGAACACTGACGTGGGGTACAGCAACCCCCCACTCCCCTGCAATTTTGCAGGGGAGTTAATATTAATAATAATAATAATATTAATATTAATATATATATATATATATTTATAATATATAATAACAATTATAATATATATATCATAATATATATATAATAATTAATATATATATATATAAAATTAATTAATCAAATTAATTAATATAATTAATTATTAATCCAATTAATAATCAATAAATATATATATACATAAATAATTAACACTTAATTGTTTATTATAAAATTAGAATCATATTCTAAAACATTACTCTCGTATAAGCTATAGTTTTAATGTACATCTTATGCACATTATTTTTAACCTATAGTTTTAATATGAATCTTATTCATATTAATTTTATTTGAATCTCATTCAAATAATATCTCTCATAATATATAGTTTTAATTCACAATTAACTATATATTATAATGTATCAATATACATATAATACCTTAAGTAATTTGAACAATTCAAATTCTTCCAAAAACTTGATCCTCGTTTTACCCGTTATGAGCTCGCAAGGGGACCTAATGGACCTACAGATCCGAAGCTCCAACGATGCAAGATTAATCGGTCAAACTCATTGACCGAGTTAATCTAGATTCGTTAACTACGGGTCATTCCATTAAAGACCCGCAGTTGCACTGTTCTCACTGCAGAATGTTTTCGTGTCCATGGATGTATGACCATTAATGACGAGTCAATCCTTCACGAGTGTTCATAACTCAAGTTGGGTCAAATTACCGTTTTACCCCTGAGTTACATCTTACTCCTTAAACACCACTGCTCCTCTAATGAACAACCCGGTTATGGTCCAACCAATAACCGGAAGTCCCTCTCGGCCAATGAGAGGGTGGGGCCCCTTGTTCAAGTCCCGGAGTCAGCATTTAAGGGAACACTCATCTACTCCCCTAAAGTCGGGGAGGAGTGAATTCCATCTTGTGAAGTTATGTTCCCAGCTCCCCACTCGATCTCGTCCCCAAAATGGTAGGAATATTGAGTCGGCGACTCAGGCCACTCTAACCCATACAGATCAAAGGATGAGCCCTCACGGGCAGGAGTCCATAACTCACTCAGGATTGAGAATGAGTTGCCTGGTCATCCTAAGAAATAGCAATCTATTAGTTAACGGTGTTACACCTAAAGATTGCCTATTTCGCGGTCCGGTCTTATACAAACTCATTGTACAGGATACCCCCACTCGCATGTCTCCACACGAACGACCTAGATCGAGTCGTCTGTAACCTTTACAGAGTGGGTCGTATCCATAGTGTTGCCAGGATAAGGTACCCAGCCTTATCCATATACTATAGACCCTTTAGGTTATTCACGGGATATTATCCATTCATATATCAGGGGTATATCAAATATATACCCCGTATATCAACTATATACCCAGTATATATACTGTCCCGATTATATCAAAAATAACCTTGGATGTTTAGTTTATTGGATTTTGGACAATGCAAAGCTATGATTCAACAACAAATTTATTGAATAAAACTTTATTAAATAGACATTTGTTTTTACAAAATACAAACTACGAGTTTAGGGCAACACACCCAACACCAATAACTTGAATTGAACCAATATGGGTATTACGAAGGGCCATTACCTGCCGAACCTTATTAAGACTGTTTGGTGTGTTGCCCTAAACTCGTAGTTTGTAATTATGTAAAAACAAATTTATATTCAATAAAGTTGTGGTTTCATATTCAATAAATTTGTTGTTGAGTTTATAACATAGCATTGTCTAAATCCAATAAACTAAACATTCAAGGTTATTATCATGTAACCGGGATAGTATATATAATGGGTCTATATTTGATATACCCTCTGAAGGGATTGGATCCCGCAGTGGAAGCTCACGAACGCGTGTGCTTCGATCTTGTCTTAGTATTACAACAGAGAAAAGACATATAAGCATGAATAGAAGGAAGTTAGTGATACATACCTTTGAAGACACTTCTTCAATGTAGACATCAGCGCCACCACAAAGTCTTCCTCGCTATCCTCTGGATCTTAAGAACTCGGTTTGTGGGAACCGTCTTATAATTAAAAGGGAGATCGAGAGATCGAAAGACAGTTTTCTCGTTTGGAGTTTCAGAAACTCAACCACTATCAAACCGGGACGAAAGGAAGGGGAGAACCTCCCTTTTTATAACGGAGGGGAAGTGGGAGGTTTTTCTCCCATTTCTTTTCCCTTTTTTTCTTTTCTTTTTTTATTAATTTTCTTTTATTTTAATTAAAACAATTTTAATTAAAATAATAATTAATTAAATCTAATTTGATTAATTACAAAAAGGAATTATTAATTTAATTAAATTAAACTTAAATTAATCAACTATATTAGAATCAAATTCTAATATCCATCTCTCTCATAATTTTGAATCCAATTCAAAATTAACTTTATATTATAATGTATCAACATACATTATATTAATTGCATCTCATATAATCAACCTTAATTCCCTTGAACTAATTTGAACAATTCAAATTCTTTTCAAGACTAACTGTTTTTAACTATCCTTTACGAGCTAGCAAGGGGACCTAATGGACCTACAGATCGGAACCTCCAACGATACGATATTAATTGATTAAACTCATTAACCACATTAATCAACATTTGTTAACTGTCGGTCACTCCACTAAAGACCCACAGTTGCACTCTTCTCACTGTAGAATATTTTGCGTCCATGGATTTTGACCATTAACGGTAAGTCAATCCTTCACGAGTGTTCGTAACCACAGTTGGGTCAAATTACCGTTTTACCCCTATGTTACATCTTGTACCTTAAGTACCATTGATTCTCTAATGAACAACCTGGTTATGGTCCAACCAATAACTGGAAGTCCCTCTCCGGCCAGTGAGAGGGTGGGGCCCCTTGTTTAAGTCCCGGAGTCAGCACTCAAGAGAACACTCATCTACTTACCCTGAAGTCGGGAAGGAGTGAATTCCATCTTGTGTAGTTACGTTCTCAGCTCCCCAACTCGGTCTCGTCCCCAAAATGGTAGACATATTGAGTCGGCGACTTGAGTCACTCTCACCCATACAAATCAAAGAACGAGCCCTAACAGGCAGGAGTCCATAGCTCACTCAGGATTGAGATCGAGTTACCTAATCATCCTATTGAAATATTAATCTATTAGCCAATGGTGTTATAGCTAAAGATTAATTATTTCGTGGTCCGGTCTTATACAAACTCATTGTATAGGATACCCTCACCCGCATGTCTCTACACGAAAGAC